TCTTCTCGTGCAAAACGAGATTTTAGCTGGTGGATAGCTTCTTTATAATTCGCGCCTCAGAGACGTTAACTATCTATGAGCTCTCTCGCTGGGGATCCAACGACCGTTGCCTGCAATTGGTACTGAAATTTATCATTGTCATTTATATTTACATCTTCGTCGATCTTCTTAAACTGTACCCAAAATCCTAACCAATTACGGGTCTCCTCATTGAATTTTTGAAGCTCGAACTTTGGTAATTTAAAATTCCTTTTCGTGGAATTTTCTAAAATTCCAGGTGTAATTACAGAAGTGTAATTTACCATTTTGTTTTCTACTTTTGTTTTTAAACTGATATATTTATCACGATATGTTTCATTCGTGTCAAAATCAGCCAAATATTCACTTTCGTTTTCACTTTGCAACAAAAGTTCGGAAATTTATGATTGAACTTCATCGAATCTCTTAAATTTTTCTTCCAACTGTGAGCTCAATACTTGGAGTTGACCTCCACGTCAGACTTTAGGATTTCAGCATCTAACGCACTGGCAGTAATCGTAAACGATTGCCTTAGAGGCTTACGCATTCGTAATAAAAATTCCATGATTTTAAATTCAATATGTCCAATATATTCAAATAATAAAGGATATAATCAAATAAATCATAAACTCAATTGATAAATTCCAATACGAAATCGATGTTTCGTTCTCAAACCATTGTTTCGTTTTCTTCAAATAGCCATTCCGTCCTGTCACCGGACGCCAGTTGTTTGAAATTAATCAATTTCTTGACTTATTTAATAACTTCGGAATGGTAATATATTTCACAGAAAAAACCTTTTTAATTAACAACGAACTTATTTATTTAGCATTCTAAACATTACAGAAAGAATAACATTCCATACGTTATCAAGCTCAAAGTGATATATAACAAAACATCACTGTTGCCACAAAAAATCTACATTATAATAAACATATTAAATTATTGTGTATTAACTGAGTTTGTGCGCGTTCCTTAGCAATATAAATACATCTGCGAATCTTTTCGAATAGCCGAAGTTACTTGCCAGAAGTTAAATAAATGATGTAAAAAAGCCAAAATGACTACTAAGAAGGAACCACGGGACTGTTAGTTGCTGAATCGCTATGAAGTGATGTTTGTGGAAAACAAAAGCAAACACTACTTTATCCAGTTAAAGAAAGCGTAAATTATTTCATGTACTTCATGAAATTCATTTGGCCTTTAGACACGGAGAACGTGACAGAATGTTGAAGGAACTCTAAACCAAATACATGAATGTTACACGGAATGATATTGAATTGCACAACCACCTTGTCATAAAAGACGAAAAGGCATTAAAAGAGAGCATTATTGTGAAACCTATGATTTTTCTGAATTTAATTCTCGCTGTCGGATAGATCTTATTGATTTCCAGTCGATAGAGAATATAAATTTATTATGGTGTATTAAGATCATCTCACATTTTATTTTACAATTTTAAAGTTTTTTAATGGCAATCTTTCATTATTTTTTCAAAATAACATTTGCGTTTTTGAGGATTGAACTTCTTTTAAATAATAGCCTTATGATGACTTTTTTCCATACTTTACTTAAAGAGCATTTGTTATCTTATAGAATGCCTAGGTTGTCTATGCATTGCCTAGGTAATGTATATAATAATTATCATGTTTTATACTTTGTCTAAAAACACTAGGCATTATATAAAATGCCTAAGTATTCTGTAGAATGCCGGCGTTTCATACATTGCCGGTAGCATATATATATATATATAATATATATGTATATATATATATATATATATATATATATATAATATATAGAAAGAAAAGAAAAAAGAAAAATAAATGGCCCCTCAGTTATTTTTAGATCGTGGCATTTTGCTTGTTTATTCGTTCAGTTTGAGACCATTGATCTACAGCAATGATGCCCAAACTCTTAGAACTTCTAGGCCACGTAACGGAAATAAAATTGTGACACATATTGCACCAAATTTGGCGTATTTTTATCTGTCATGTAATTCAAAAATCGCGATTGTGGATAATATATTCACGTGCTGCTTTCAAAGCACTTCTTTTTTTTAATTTTACGTCTTGTACGTTTCAGGACAAAAATATTTGCAGACAGACTTTATTTTAGAGCATGTTTCAGAACAAAAAGGCATTTATGAAGTGCTGATAATTTTTTCTTAGATAGATACGGATAAAAAAATCGCTAAACGATTATTCATTAATTAGTTTTGTATCGTATTGTTATTCGATACATTCTGCTTGCTATTTCGCAGATGAGAGTAATAACAGTTGAGATCGTAGAAAGAAATATACTGGAAGAAAATGTTTTCCGAATTGTTTAAATCTGCTCCCAATATCCTGTGTTAAAACGGCAGTTATTTTCTTACATTTTTGCTGTTTACATACTTTTCACGCAGAGATTTCCAAACTTAATAAAGCCTTTGCTTTTAAAGTTGAGATTGCAAACATTTTAACCTAATTCCATTTGTTGACATTTTTTTATATACCATTCATTAGTTGATTTGGCTTTTAAACGTAAATTCAGTTTATTCATAAACGAGTAGTCATATCCATAACTGACTCTCAAAACAACTGGCGAACGGCATCAAAGAGTTGTAAACATTACCGACTGTACGCGCCTAATTTGTAATAAAGTTTCATTAAATGCGAGTTGTGAGACAATGTTTGATGGGTCACGAATATTTCGAAGTTTTACGCTTTGTTATTTGATTAACTGACATTTTTAATTATTTGTTAATAATTATGTATTCTGTAACTATACATCGTATCTCCACAAAATTTAGGACACTTAATGCATACACTAATCACTGACTCGAAGAAAACAATTAGATTTATCTTCACATAAATAGGACATAAGTCAGATCTAAAGAAAGTGCGACCTCTCTGCAAGAATACCCTCAGAGATTACATTCTTATTCTACCTGTTACATAATTTTCTTTGAAGTGTCCTTCTTTCTTTCACAGTATTTTTTGCAGAGAGAAAGCACGTGTTTCTGGAGAGCTTACTAACTCCCGAGCGGATAAGACCACTAAAACCGGGAGCTCGACCCAGTTTTAAATCACGGCGAATGAGTTGGGTACACGGGTATAGTCGTGGGTTTCGCTATATCTAATGTGAATACAAACCAATTTTCGCTTAAAATGTTCTCAATGAAAATACCCCTTCTCCTAAGTATAGAACCCGTGCACCAGTGCCCGAAAATTATGAATGCTGGTAGTTCGATTCAGGCTCATATCTGTGTGGGTATCCGGACATAATCCCGACAAGCCAGAATCCCGACAGACGGAATCCCGACAAGCCAAAATCCCGACAGGGTCGAAATCCCGACAAACCAAAATCCCGACAGGGTCGAAATCCCGATTGTCCAATATCCCGACAGGGTCAAAATACCGACAAGGGCGAAATGCCAATAAGGCCTAATGACATACATCCACAGACTAGTATATGCTTTGATGACTAGCAAAAACATACTTAACATACTTCCACAGCTGCAACTAGTATATGCTTTGATGACTAGCAAATCTGAAGAATATTACAAAAGATTATTCCAAGATTTAATTGATTTCGCTGAAGAAAATAATATTGAACTGAGGTCATCTAGAATCATTAGTGATCTAGAAAAGGCAGCTATAAATGCTCCGCGCACTCAAAATGCTGTCGAGGATTGGCACAGAAGATGGGAGACCTTAATTGAACGGGCCCATGTCGGCGTTTATAACATCATAAAAGGATTTCAAAAAGAACAGGAGCATGTGGAATACCAAGTTGAATGCATTCTTCGCGGAGAACAACAACCAAAACGTAGGAAGGTAGATGATGACAGAGAAAGGAGAATTATGACTGTGTGGACGATCGTGATAATCGACCGTGATGGAATATCTGTGCTATCGCTCACAATGTGTCACTGAAATGTCGTTTGCATATGTTTTCTTTTTCTAATAAAGAGAATTTTATAATCTCATTCAAATTTTAACGGTCATTTCAATTTGTAAAATTATTTTAAGTAATGACATAATTTTTATGATTTTTTGATTTAAACTTTAATTAGTAATATGTACTAGTTAGTTAAAAATTTTATTTTATTAAGCTAAATTGAGTGTTTATATTTAGATATTAACTTGTCGGGATTTTGACCCTGTCGGTATTCTGGACACTCGGGATTTTGACCCTGTCGGGATTCTGGCTTGTCGGGATTCTGACCCTGTCGGGATTTCGACCGTGTCGGGACTTTGGATTGTCGGGATTTCGGCCCTGTCGGGGTTTTGGACAGTCGGACTGTCGGGATTCTGGCTTGTCGGGATTTCGGCTGTCGGGATTATGACCCAGACCCATCTGTGTGAATAGATTTCCTTCACTGGAGTTGGCATGATTTTTTTCATGTGACGTGAATATTAGTCAGTTCTCCTTAAAAAGTCCACTTAGACAAATAGTCCTCGCGGCCTTTCAATCATCTAAAGACTTCAAGTAGACAGTAGTAGTGTGCTTTGCTGTAATCCGATAAATCCAAATCTATGCTGCTAAGTCACGATAAATCCCAATTCCTATGCATGCGGATCATGATGTTGAAAGGTTTGTGAAACATTGGTCCATGAATGGCTCACAAAAAGCAAAAAAAGCAATGTCTTGGACAAAATAACTCAAGGAATGATTGTAAGGAATTCAAGATATTACTCCAGAACAAATGGAAAACGTCAATTAAATCCGAACCTAGGTCAGAGTTTCTTCTTCAGAATCGCAAGCTTGATTGAACCTATGGTTTTTCGTGGTCGCAGTAAGCTTAAGTAAGTTAATAAAGACTACTTTAATAAAGAAAAATAACTACAATTCAGTTTTTCGCCATTTAAGCAAGCATTTATCGCGTGAAAGGATGAACAGTCTACGGCGTCCACCGATGGCCAAGAGAAGAAATCTAAGGAAACCTCCGGCCCGTATCGTGGCGTGACTCTTTCTGGAAGGACAGATCGCTAACAGAAATCAATTTATTACTTCTCACTCCCGTGAGCATGCACCTCTTCCTCAACTCGCAGAAAAAGACTCTGTCATTTAATGACCCTCGACGCAGGAAACGGGGGTCATGGTTAGGAGCGCGCGCAGCATTTCCATCCCAAGAAAATAGGTATATTGAACCTTTTTTTGACAGAATCTCCCTTTGTAGAGCAGAATATTTACTGCCAGGTCACGTGATACGGGGTGTGGCACCCACAGGTAGGCACGCGAACGCCGTGTTGGTAAACCTTAGCCGCACCCTTCGTCGATAGCAGCAATTATCAAATCCAGAAGATTTTTCGGGGTCTATTTTTAATAAGTTATTATGGCCTCCTTTCAGCCCATGTTTTTTTTTTTTTTTTGTTGCCTTCACTTTCGATGGTGCTTTATTGTCGACCGAACTCTTTATTGATGGAGATACAGCGGCATAATCTTTTTAGTGGGTGTCATGAGCGTGATTAGTCAGAGAAGGATTCAGAATGAATACGCCCTTGGGGATTTAGAAGACCGATTCTTGAGTCTCCTGCCTTCACAAATGGCCTAATTTGGGAGTTCGGGAATTCGTTTAACTGAGAAGCTTGCTTATCGACAAACGTTTAACCTTTACGATGCAAACATGTCTGGAATCAGTAAAGGAATGTTTCCAACAGGTTTGAAATATTTTAGTCATTTCTCTTTCCACACAAGAAAAGAGATAACTGTGTTTTATCAAAACTTTACTTAAAATGTTTAGTATTGTTTGTTCATTTTATGGTTGATGGTCTATATTAAAATACGAAATAAAGAATGCATTGTAGTTTGGTTACAAGTATTCGTAAAAATCTAATTTTAACAAAGTAGCAAAGCATTGGCACGTGACTTGTTACCTAAGAAGTTCACGCGTCTATGCGTAAAAAAATTAAATTCGTTTTGAAAGACAGGTACGTAGTCCCTCATTTCAGGAGTAAACATAAAAAAAACTTCTTAACCGATAAGAAGAAACTTGTACTTAATCAGGAAGTTTAAAACTAGTTACTAAAGAATTTTTTGTTCGTTTTCTCATTACTTAAATGTTAAGAGCATAATTTATAATGTAAACAGGAGATCGCAGCACATTTGTAGGTAAATTACAGGTTGTGAAATCTCTAACCTGAAAAGATGGTTATTTATCAAAAATATGTCGATGATTCCTAACTAATATTATAAATGCGAATGTGAGTTTGTTTGTTTGTTACGCTTTCACGCCTTAATTACTTAACAGATCATCATGAAATTTTCAAGAAATATTTTTAATATATTAGAAAAGGTTATAGGCTATAAAATGTAACTTGATCTGTTGAATCTTAAAGTATATAATAGGTTTTATAGCTTTAAATGATTGTCGTTGTATAAATATTAAATATTGAAAGTTTCATAACGATAAGTTAAACGATGTAAAAGTTTTTCTGCTCGCGCAGGCGCGTGGCTTAAACCACGCAAACATTTTATAGACAATAAATATTAGTAAAAATTTTATTTATAAACTTTTATAATATATCAAAAATATTTCTTGAAAATTTCATGATGATCAGTTAAGTAATTAAGGCGTGAAAGCGTAACATTGTAACATTTATTAATTAAGCGTTTATTAATTTTTATTTGTTTAGTTTAATTTATTACTTAAAATCCTTCAGATTTTCTGGCTTTTGGCTCTTCTTTCAAAAACATTTTTCAGTCATTAGGAAATATACGTAGCAGTTTTACTAGATTTCGTGGCGATACACTCCGCGTATATACAAAATATCCGCGGCTTATTGGTATTGAAGAAGGGCAGTATTTACTGAAATATTTCGCGGAATGTATTTTTAAAATTCACGCGGAGTTGAAACCTTTTCATCAGGAGCTGATAAAGTCGCATTTACTCTCGATAATTCGGCAATAAATATATGGGCTGCGCTGAAACTTATTTAAGGACATCAATGCGAGCGAAGCCGCGGGTGAAAGCTAGGCGATCATATAAATTAAAATTGATTTCGAAAAACGTGGACAAGCTATCCAAACCGGAAGTATTAGGGATTTCAATAAACTGTAATGTAATGTTGTCATTCTATGAATTCGTTTTTTTAGTCAAGATGCTGGGAAGAAAAGTGCCAAATACCGCTTATTTTGAGTCTTGCCATAAAAATTTCTTTTTTTTTTCCAATGCAAATACGTATGTATACAAAGTTCTTTATCTAAACTAAATGAAAAGTAAGTTTGGAATGGAAATTTATTTCCTTGCAAATATATTCAAAAATTATATTTTCGAAAATGATCTGTGTAAAATTAGATGGAATCTTTTTTCCTCCCCTCCCCATTTTTTTTTTTTTTTTTTTTTTTTTTTTTTTTAAGAAATTTTCCAAGAAACATTTTCTATTTGAAATTGAGTTATCCAGAACTGCTCCGATCTAGCTGGCTAAGCGAAGCAAGTATTGGAAGGCGAAAGCATCAAACTGGAATATGCCACTGAATACGTGAACTCTTGCTCGAAACATATAGAGTCTTTATAACCGACATTACATCCGCATTAAAGTACAGATTTGCCTGTTCCTGTGAGATAAATTACAGTTAAGTTCAATAAATTCCGTGAAATTAACTTTTATGCCTAAGTTGCTAATAAAATCAAGAATGTGTGGTTGTTTGTCAACTTGTCTTCAACTGGTAATGCACTTCGTGTCCAAGGTTATCTTTCCATGCATAAAATCATGGATTTCTCAGAAAATGTGAATTATAATTTTATGACTTAGTGTGGAATGACATGTAACATCATAATATATAAATACAAAGGGAAAAAATTAAGAATATGGTATAAAACTGTAGCACGAAACAATAAAAATTGTAATAATATATTAGACGTAGAGTTCAGGGGAAAAAAAGAAGTATGAAAAAAATAAAGTTTATGAATGCAATATGGAATGGGATTTCCCCTGTCTTGTTACCTATATGATAATGAGATTTCATCATGGCAATAATGTTGTTAAACACAGTTTGGGGAATTATGTTCCACTCCATCAACAATGTGGTCTTTAGGGCTTTTGCTTATTTCGAAGAAAGATGTCTCCATGCAATTTCTTTTAGAAGGTAGTCCTGTAAATTCTCTACGGGGTTAAAATCCGGAGATTTTGCTGACCGCGTTATTTGCTCAGTGTCCTCACTTTCAAGAAAATCGTCTCGAGGTTTGCTCATTGAAGAGCAGCATTATCGTCAATTAATATGAAGTCAGATTCATAGGCACCTCTAAAAAGTCTCACAAGAAGATCCTAGGACCTTACCCCGATATCTCTGGCCGATCGAAACTTGTAGGGTCGAACATCTATCGACCTGTATTTCCCCTATGCCGTCGCAATTGCAGTGTCGAAAACAGTCACTTTTCACAGTGTTCGAAGGAAGATTTCGAGATCCTGATTACCTCCAAATGTAAACAAACACATTTAGAATCAGATGTTAAACTAAATTTCAACTTATCAGTAAAGAGAACATGGGACAATTTTTGTTCATTCCAATTCTGATGTTCTTTGCACCAATTAAAGAAATCATTCTTTTGTTGTAAAGACAGCGAAACACATACCTTTATCTTTTTCGCATAAAGGCCTTTTTCTTTAAACCTTCTATATACAGTTTGCAGGGATACAACAGTTCTAGTGGCGGTTGAAGCACTTTATATTCGTTTACGACATTATCCAAGCCTATTTAAAACAGATCCAGAGTTCTAAAATTTTTCCATAGCACAGAGACTGTCTGTCTGAAAATGTTCACACATCTCACTGCTTCCATAACTGACTACCCTGATTTTTAACGGCCAATGATTCGCCACTTCATAGTTCATTCGCCACACCACTTCTTCCAAAAGATGCTTGAGCCGTAAAAAAACTTTTTGAGTTAACACACACTGGAATCAAACTCTGTATTACGGAAACTGGCTGAGATATTCTTTTTGCGCAAAACAATTTACTATCAGATGAGGTAATACCTTGACTCGCATATCAGGAACCATTTGATCACTTTCGATTGGATAATGCTAAGCAAACTTGTCTTTCACATAGTACCCGCAAAAATGAGTTACATCGATTGAATATTTCAGGGAATAAAACTATATTCGGGTATATAATGATAAATTTGTTCATGCGCGTAATTTTCAGATCTTATTGCTTCCTTTACATTATCTGGCTCCGAAAACGAAGAATCATTCAGAGGGCATGACTCTTTTTGAGTAATTGTAAATATAATTATAACTGCGTGCATTAACTTATTAAGCTATAAGATAAATGACGCACTACGAAAATAATTCTAAACATATATTTTGACCTACCAATGAGTGAGTATATATAAGACCGCTGACCATTACTTCGTCCTGAATTCGATTCCCAGTGATGTTTCTTTAGCTTTTATCAATCTATAATGTGAATATAAGCTAGTATTCCTTAAAAGAACTTATATTTTTCCCAAAGCTATCCATTATACTGCAGATATCTCTTGCGTGTTTCTTTAAAATAAATTAACCTCAAACTTAACAAGTGCTTTTATTAGCAGTTTTGCAAACTGAATGTGCACTGATGTAACTTAAAACTAACTGTGAAAATTGACTTAAAAAGCAACATTGCGGTTTTATACCTTGGCAAAACTTTAAACACCTTGCATCACGTTTAAGAAGGATTGCTAGTTGCTAACAGACGTCAATCAGGCGTTTAATCCTATTATTGCGATCTGATTCGGATTCCACATTTTCCATGTACATGTTTAGGCATGTTATATTATCATAAGCGCCAATCACACGTTTCATTCTGTTGGTGTGAAGTGATCCGGATTTCACATCTTCGTTACATGTCTATTTATTTTGCACTCCTGATGCAGAACGCCTTTTGCTCTAATGGCATGCCAAATCCGCTACGTGATTGCACTGAATACATATTCTTTACTAGAATTTTCTTTTAGTTCAACAATTCCCGTTAGAGCACGACAGTTTCACCCACGGTACTTTCTGACTGAATTTTATAAATCTAATCAAGGTTTTGTTGAGCCATTTTCCATCATTTCGAATCGTGCTATTATGTTGTATGATTCACTCTTGCTTTCGTTCATCTTATTTAAGATTTGTTACACGAAGTATTTCATCACACATTTTTACATTTTGTGTTCGTACTTATGTATTTGGTCTTAATATTTAGTTTACGTTTTTAGATATTAGATGTTTACATTTAGTTTATTTATTTTTATTAGATTTTTTTAAGGCTAGCTATAGCCATTTAAGCTTTGCCCAGTACTGAGGACAGAATGGTGGACATTTTATTATGGAGGCACCTAATAGGCGGCCACCGTTACCTGCTATAAAAGGACAGATAATTTACATCCATACCTTCTCCAGGTTTCAAGCCCAGGCCCTTCAATACCGCAGTCAGAGTCACTAACCCCTTTCCTGTCTGGGCGACTATTTTTATTTAGATGTTAAAATTTAGTTTATTTGTTCTTAGTATATGTTTATACTTATATTTACTATTCAGCGTTTTCTAGTCCTTGCATCGTTTGTATTATGAATTTATATTTTCCAGATGGACTTAGAATACCAGTATGAGAATAAGCCTATGCCTCTGAATGAAGATATGCTGAACGTCCTCGATTCCGTTTGAAATTCTAAAAATATGGATTATAGGCCTAACAAGTATCCATTCCGCCGAATCACAGTTGGAAACGAAAAGAAAAAGATAATACTCTCAAGAAGAAAGTAAATATTTGTAAATACAAAAAAGGGTTTGTAATTGATATACGAAGACCAAGAATTATTTTTCATTTATCAAATGACTCATAATTACTTTTTCTTTTTCAGCGCAATGGATATTGACTAAAGATGCCCTCCCAAAGAAGCTGACACATATTGGCAACAATGTCTTTGTTATACGCACGCTTTTCAATGGAAAAATCATGCGTATCAGCAAGTACGCCAAGTACAGGAGTTTATATTGTCCAACTCACAATATTGTGAATTTAGAGACATCGTGTTTAGAATTCTTCTCTTAATACATCCCACATGACTTAGCCACAATGCATCTGCAACTGTACAAGAATTTCAGTGCTGAGTATGATGGTTCTCACTTCACGCTAATGCAAATGTCACTTATTCGTCTACCAACGTTTGAACTTTGGTCAAGCCTACGAAAACATATCGGAGTAATCTATTAATGACGAAAAGCTTCCAGAACCCTTTGACATTTTGGGAGGAACATTATGTCTACATATTGTTCGTAAGACATAACTAGAAGAGCTGATACAACAAGACAAAATTTGAAGTATCCTAAAATCAAACAGCGCGAACATCTCGTTATTCATAACAAAGGAAATGTTAATTGCTTGGCTCTGAGATTAAATTCCGGCTATATAGCCAGACAACTTTATGGGAACTTATGGGCAAAACAGTGTTATTTATCTCTGCTTAAACCCGCTCATAATATTACAAAAAAGCTTTTAAATCTGTTTGTTCCAAACTAATGCTCTGAAGTGAAAGAAGCAGCTGAAGAGAAAGAATTGAATCAGAAGATTTTTGCCTGCCGATTTGGGAAAAATACACGATGGTATTGAATATTATGAACTTTTAGAAAGTAAATAAAATTACATGTTTATAATAGTTTCTTTGCTGTATGATAATTAAGTTAAAAATAAATGCACATTAAGAATATGAAAACAGTATAAATACGCATGCACATATATTTCCTGTCAATAACATGGATTGTAGAAATGAGGAGTTGTAAATTAAAAGGAAAAGGTATAAATGGTGATAAACTTTCATATTTCGATTACTTAAAACCACTGATGCAGGAACCATGAATCTAATTATAATGTATCGTGATTCAGCATTTCCTTCCAGTTTGGGTGAAATGAGATGATAACAGTTGGAAGATTATATTGGACCGTATTTGGACAGGTATTTGTTCTTAGCAACAACCAAACGATGTGATATCAACAAGGTGCCATCGCGAATGATCTACTCAGATTGGAGCCCATTAATAGTATAACAATAGGTCGGAAGTTATATGGGTGGTAATAGGAACACTTGCCTTAAGAAAGTCAGTTCAGAATCTTAATGCAGTGGTCTCAAATTATATGCGGGACTAAAGTACGATATGAAAGCATCTGGCTCGTCATATGTTTTGGTTAAAAAAATGAGAGTGAATTTTTGTATATAATCATACATCCTTTGGCGAAAAACGTTCAGGACAAAGGTCGTAAAAAATAGAAAAATGCATTTGCCAAGTAATGATCCTAGCTGCTATCAAAGTAGTTGCCTTGTCTACCTATACACAACTGCCAATGTTTTTGGAATCTTGGAAGCAGGGAAACCTTCAACTGCGATGCTTGAAAGCTCATTTCTCATAGCCCGTTGGATGCCTGCAGTAATGTTGATGAAGCTCTCCTTCAGTCACCTTTTCACTCACGGAAATAAGAAAAAATCACAATAAGTTTTGATAGGAATGTGGGATCGCGTCTGGCTCTATCAAATAGTTTAGCAGAAATTCTTCATCTCTCCTCTTTTTCTGTTCACCTGTTAGTGAGAAAGGGACGATTCTTGCAAAAAAGGTTCCGTTTCTCTAAAGTTTTGAGCAAATTCTTAAGATAGACATTACGATTTAAATTGAGTTCTTCTGATATCATACGCGAATAACTACTTTACACTCTTCACGTTTGCTTCGGTTTGTGCTATAGACGGGTGACCAGCTCTGGGATGTTCTTGCACTGATTCTGTGCCTTCGCGAAACCTTTCGTACCACTCGGAGACACGACTTCTTGAAAGTGCCTCGCCTGCATTTGCTTGCTTAATCACGTTCCATGTTTCACTAGGAATTTTTCTCGTCTTGGTGCAAAACTTACTTTTCACTCTTTGCTCACAATGAGCATCCATTGTGTCACCTTAACGAATGCGACACGAAACGTATGTGCTAAGCACAGCTCCACCACCGAGTAAGTTTACGTCGAAACATGGCCAAGGTTATGCCAAGTAAGAATACATACCAGGCAACATAAAAACAACATTTGTTCCTTCTTCGGTAATGCAAAATCAGAAATAAAAATAACTGTCCTGGAACTTTTCTCCCAAAGGATGTATAGATTATAAGATATTTTTTCCCATTTTAAAGCATGCGTGGTGTAATGGTAGCAGACTCGGAGCGAATTCAAAAGATCCAGGTTCGAGTCCCGGCGACGAAACTGCATATTTTTCACATCTCCTTCTTCAAAGAAACCTAATAACTCTATAGTGGCGCCCGAACTAAAAGGTAGTGAAAAATAATTATTTCACCACCCTTTAAAAAGAGGAGAATTTTCACCCTCCTTTTCAACATGGCTTCGTGGTATAACGGTAACACACTCGACGGTCAAGATATATTTAATTCAGCTTTTATTTCAATAAACATGTTGCGGCCACAATCAAATTGGCCCATTAATTGTGCCTATTCCAAAAAGTTAACATTTTAGATAAATTTGCACTAAAAAAGAAGGAGCAGACAGACTGCAGTCCAGCTAGACCAAAGCGTAGAAAGCAAGTGCGTTATGTTCAGGGTGAAATTCAGGCTGAGTTAGTTTTGGTTCTCGATGCATTTTGAAAGCAATTAAGTATTAATTTGTTTCAATGCTTGGTATGATATAGGTTAAAGTTAAACACGGTTACTGATGTCCCAAGCCCTAGAGCAAGAGGGACAAAAATAAACTTTGCCCAGTTTTGTCCCCGTGTGTTGATCGGTAGTATATGCTTCCAGGGATCCCCTCTAGGAGTTGCAGCAGCAGGCGTTCTGCGTCAAGAGTACAAAATAAGTATGGACATGTTGTAACGAGGATGTGGAGTCCGGTTTGCTTCCCCCCCACAGAATGAAGCCTGTTAGTAGGATAGCATCCCTAAGCATGTGCATGGAAACTGTGGAATCCAGATGAGGTCACAACAGGGTTAGACGCATGATTGACGTCCGTGATTAACTAGGAAGGAGTTAATCTAAAGGAACTGCAATGCGTCCGTAATAACATAGCAGTCGCACGTGCCCTGAGTCCCTCTGCGATTCTTTTTGTAGGCTCCGCTCACTGTGCGCATCACCGACTCAGTGGCCCAGAAGTAATAATTTACACTAATTTTTAATTCTAAATACCCATAGTTTCTCTTTTTATCCAAGGTCTGAATTGTTGGAAGCACCGTGTATGTATATGAATCTTAAATCTTAGCCTGAATCTTAAATTTTCTTCAATCCTATTTCTAACTCGAAACTTTTGTATAAAATTAATGAGAAGGGAAAATAAGGTTTAACATTAAAACTTAAATTAAAAAAATTTAAGATGTAAGGATTATGTTAATTTTATTAACAGTTCAATTTTGAGTTAAAGTTTCTTTCCTGTCGATTCTTAACATCAACTTACTACTTCCGGCCAGAGCTTAGTTTTAGAATGACGTCTGAATACATAATGAGGAAGAGCGGTATTTAACCGCAAAGTTCTTTAGTCTTAGTGAGAGAGATACCAGGTATTCTGTCTGCATGCATCCGCCTCTTTTAGGCTAATCTCTCGTAAGCTATTATCACGCTCGGCCGTACTTTAGGCTATTGATAGCTTCGTAGTCTATTAACGTTAAGGGGCCAACTTGGTTAGAATCTTGATAGCTTCGGCTATATCTCTTTAGTTAAGATTAGTTTAGTATTATTCTTAGTCCCTTAAGTTCAAAGCCCAAGTGTCGGCTTTATTGATGGAGTTTTGTTAAATATTATTTTGAATAATAAAGGGTTATTTTACCCTTCCTACTTGTTGATTCCTATCAGACGAACTCAAGCGATTATTCGCTTATCAGTTCTTCACGTTCAACAGTAACTGAGAGTTACACAGTGAGGATCTCTACAAAGATAAGACATTTTTTTTCCTTTCTTATCTTCTTATTTTTATTTGTTTTCTTATTCTTACAACCAAAATTTGAAATCTGCGATTACTGAAACCAAATTTATAAATACGGTTTTAAACACACGTCTATAATGAAACCTCTTACGTCGATCACTTCTATAACCGTTATATTTGAGAACAGAAATTTAGGTCCGCATTGAAAACATCTTCTGTAAGACAACTACCTTCTTAAAATACTAAAATCTTTTCGAGCTATGGATGGTTATCTTAAATAGGGTTCACTGCATGTTTATTAAGAACATAAAAATGAAATTAAGCAAACGAAGCGTGAAATAAATATTCTTGAACCTAGTAGTTCGTTTCTCTTTCAAAATAGAAAAACTATGAAACAAAATCATCATTAAAATCTGAAAATATTCAGATTTTAATGATGGCCCAAAAAGGTTAAGTTATCAATAGAGATATTGACAGAGGTGGTCCAGGTGGAATAATAGCAAAATATTTTATACGATATGAGGATCAATGTGCATTAAAACTAACATAGGAACATTATATATATACATATATACATGTACTTTACATTTAAAAAGTGAAAAAATACGTAATGTAATTCTATAAAAATATTAACAGCTAAATCTACTGCTTTTAAATAGTTAACTTGTTAATTATTAACAGACAGATTACATATGAAAGAATAACAGCTTACGTTTTCCTAATGGCAACATAATCGAATGAAAAGTGAAGCATTTACAATAAATCATACAAAATCGCGTTTAGAGATTGATAGTCCATTCGGTCCTTTTAAAAAAAAAAGGAAATGAGTAACAACTTTTTTCCCTTTCCTATTTTTTTTTCCTCACAGCAAGTCTGGAATGGCGAAGGAATAATTTCGAGAAATATAGATAAATACTAAATACGGAACCTTAAATGCTCCTCAGAAAAGTAAGAAAAATCAGACTTGTTTTTCTAAGTTTTCATAACAGTCTGCTTGCATTGTGACAGTCAGTTACATTGTGACCTTACGGTGAGATAGGATTATTAAGTTTCCACATTTGCAGAAATCTCCTGTCTTGTTTAATAATTTTTCTATTAGATTTCAATAATTTTAATCTTTTCATGATTGGTGATGTTTCTTTAAAGGCTAAAGATGCAAAATAATGCAATGACACTGGAGAATCATTAGGGATTTTTGAAGCAGGAGATGTGAAATATGCGGAATGCCCTCGCCAGGACTCGAACCTGGACTTCTCGAATACGCACCGATGAGTGTGCTACCGGCTGGAAGGAGAGAGAATACTTTATACACTCCCCCTTTTAAAGGGAGAATGGGTATTAGGGGATTCAATCGCCAAATCCTTGTAGTGACGAATTATTGTCCACCACCTTTTAGTTCGGGCGCCACTGTAGAGTCGTTAGGTTATTTGGAAGCAGGAGACATGAAAAATGGGCAATGCTCTCTCTGGGACTCGAAACTAGACCTCTCGAATATGCGCCGAGTGTGCTACCGTTGCACCACGAAAGCATGCGGAAAGAAGGGAGAAAATACTTATAAGGTAAAAAGAACACATATTCCAATTTTTTAATATGGAATCATTTTTAAGATTCATGGAATTCGAATGTTCTATCTGAATGTACTGTTATGTTTAAACAGACAATCTATTGCACAAAGGCATAAAATTGGATACTATCTATATTGGCTTATTGAAATGATAATATTTTGTCAGAGAGATAAATCTAGTTGATCCTTTAAAACGTAAATTCATTTCGGTACTTCACTTACAAACGCTGCTGAATTGATTAGATACTTCGCTTGCTTAATTAGATTGTTATTGCATGCTGCTTTTGTAGCTGTACTACATT